TCCTCCCTGAGGATCTCTCAAGAGTGTATAAGACTACACTCATTATTTAGTGCATCCTTCAAATATAGGGTTTTTTATATGTGATTACTGACTTTACTATTATCGTTTCCACATTCTCTTACATTATTCTTTTGTTCACATGTTTCAGTTTATGTGTGTACTTCTTAGTAGTATAATTTGTTTTATTCACTATTACTAAAAGTTATGTTTTATGATCTTTCTTTAATTTAGGACAGTGTTTTTCGTTTTTTGTTTACTATTCTAAATCAGGGTTAACCCCTTCACTGCACTACGATTTCCTTGGACATAATTAGCTTCCCACGTTCTCCTTGAATTATATTTATTTATTTATTTAAATTTTACAAACACACTTGCTGCAGGGTTCTTTTTATGCAAAACTGCACATCCATAAATATTAAAGCAATGCCACTATGGGTATGGGTTTTAAGTTATTCTTAGAATATACACTAATGTACTAAATTATTTAAGAGGAATTGTTATTATGCTCTAGAAATATCAACATGCATGGAGTGCATTAAGTAGTAGTTTGCAAATCTAAACCTTTCATTATGGGAATTGCGTGTACACCATTTCAAAGGTATCCTTCCATACTCCAGAATTCTGTGTACATGATTTGTATGATTCCAAATAAAATGTGTTTATTGTGAACACATTTTATTTGCAAATTATGGCATGAATACAACCAGACAGCTTACAGCTCAGCAGCACAGGGACGACATTGTGGGCCTCTTAATGCTGAATTCAAAGACTAGCTCTCTGTATACAGCTCTGTCCTTCACTTCAACTTTTTCCCCTTATTTGATATTCCTGGAGGATGCATACCCAACTAACTATTGTTCAATGTGGCATGTTATTACGATATCTCTTCCTGTTCTCTCCATGATAGCAGAGGTGGAGCTGGAAGGTAACTGGAAGGTGAGGAGAGAGAAGGATAAATGATGCAGCAGCTGGTGAGCTTTAGCAGCTGATGATCATCTTACCTTCTGTTCTGCTTTGTCAGCTGTAAAAGTAAAGGGAACCTTTCCCCTTTCACTACCTCCATAATATTTGTATCTTTGTGATGTATGTCTCTGAATGAGTGTATCTGTGCCTGTGTTTCTGCAGGAGCCTAACTATGAACTGCTGGGCCCTGAATCAAGAAAAAAGAGCCCCCTTGCTCCCCTTTAAGCAAGAGATCTTAGTGAATATGTTTGTGGTGGTTGTGTGTCATTGTAGGTGTGTTGACTGAATATGACTGTGTGTGGGATTTGACCAAGTGTAATTGTGGTGATTGACTAAGTGTGTTATGTATGTATGAAGATGGCGGAGAGTGATTGTATGAGTATGTGTATGTGTATGTGTGGGACTGGCTAAATGTGATTGTGTGTGAAGGCTAGAAGAGTGTGATTGTGGCGAGTTGGCTGAGTGGGATTGTTTGGGGGTTGAGTGTGTAATTTTAATAGCATTAATATATAATTATAAAACAAACATGGTAAAAAGGCAAGTAGACACACTCAGTAACAGGCACAGCCATATACAGGCAGACACACAAATATCAAGGCAGGCACAGACAGATTCTGGCACAGACAAACACAGGCACACAGATAGACACATACACAGACAGGCAGCACAAATGCAGGATACACAGGCAGATGCACAAAGATGTAGGCATAGACACATGTCATGTAATGACACGTTGTGGCGGAACCTACCACCAATTTCGTATATACTTTGCCCCTGTTTGCATTTTTTTCCCCTTTTCCGTTCAGGAGTTATTATATACGAACGCCATCTATTCGTCTTCCGAATGAGGACCACCCCTGTACCCCATTAGAACGTTCACATCAGCAACTTAAGTGCGGAACCGCAAGGGAAGTAATTAATGAATGCTGCCCCTGGTGGCTGCCATTTTGTATAACCAAATGCACATGGTCGACAAAAGAATGGTGGCCATCTTGTCTCCCAAACGTCTGAGTGTATGTGTGTGTGTCTCTACATGTGTCTGTATATATGTCTGTATGTATGGGTCTGTGTGTGTGTGTGTGTGTGTGTGTGTGTGTATGTGTCTGTATGTATGTGTCTGCATGTGTATCTGTCTGTCTGCATGTGTGGGGGAGGTGGAGATGTGTGGGGTAGGAGGTAGATGTAGGGGGGGCCCCAGGGCAATTTTCGCACTGGGGCCCCGTTGTTTCTAGGTACGCCTCTGCCTACAATGCATTTAAAACATTCTCTGAAATGGAAGACGATATTGATGAATTCCTGCTGGATTTTGAAAGGCTCTGCCTGTTACATGATATTACGGTTACAGACTGGGTCCCCCTCCTAGCAGGAAAACTAACAGGAAGAGCTGCAGATGCCTACCGAGTCGTGCCAGATACTGAATTGAGAAACTACGCTAGGGTGAAACAAGTCCTGCTGGCCATAGGCGGTGCGGGTGAATATGAGGCAGGAGATCCATGAAATGCTCCAACTGGGGGTAATCGAACCGTCTAAAACGTTGGCTTCCCCGGTAGTGCTGGTCCCAAAGCACAACGGAACCACCCGGTTCTGCATATACTACAGGAGGTTCAATGACAAGACGGTCTCGGATGCGTACCTCATGTCTCGTATAGACAAGCTCTTAGACAGGATGTCTTGTGGTCAGCACGTCACCAGCATAGATTTGTGTAAGGGGTACTGGCAGATTCCATTAGCGGCAGATGCTATCCCCAAGTCGGCATTAATCACTCCATTTGGCCTATACCAATTAAGGGTAATGCTATTTGGAATAAAGAATGCCCCGGCCACTTTCAGACGGATGGTGGACCAGTTGTTAGATGGCCTCCAGGATTATGTTTGCGCATACCTGGACGACATCGCCTTATACAGCGATACTTGGGAAGAGCACCTGGTACATGTAGGAGCTGTACTAGACAAGATCAGGGAAGCAGGGTTAACTTTAAAGCCTAGTAAGTGCCACATAGGGATGGTAGAAGTGCAGTACTTGGGCCACCGTGTCGGGTGCAGGAAGCAGAAATCTGAGCCAGCCAAGATTGTGGAAGTAGCTAATTTTCCCCTTCCCCTCACTAAGACCCAAGTTCTAGCCCGTTTACGGACTGCCGGCTATTATAGCCCCTGGATCCCTGCTCCTCCATGCTAGGCCCCTGCTTAGTCTCCTCATTAAGTCTTGGCCAGCAGCAGAAGCAGTGTACTATGAGTTTTCTCGTAAACTGCCCTGTCTCCAGGAACAAGGAGACTGGGCAGGGGTCAAGGAATGAGCAGGAAAAAATTCAGCTTTCTAGCCATCCCACACTCATAATGCGACTGCCAGTAATTTAATACTTATTTAGTGCATTGCCGGATCTGGAGAAACTACCCTGGCATTAGACTGACAGGGTGTTGTCTTTGACTTTGACTATAGGCAACACAAGAGAAGGAGTCATTGCTTTGAAATTATTTTAGTGTTTATTGTGTGTTACAGGCAGAGAGATATGTACCTTTTTTTAATTTAGTTTTTCTTTTTTTCTTGGATGATAATGAGAGATGGGTGAGAGACAGTGGGTCTCACTCTTTGTTTATTTGTGTGACTTTGTGGAGGCCAGGCAGCCTGAGTGTCAGTGTGTGACTTTCTGCAGTGATTTTGTTTTTGTTTTCTGTCATATTAATTTGAAATGTAATCATTCTAATTTTTCTACCCTGTCTGCCTTTTGGCAAGGCTACACTCAGCCTAGCATGAGCCTGGAGTATCTTTATAGTGGGTCTGTGCAAGTTACTAAACAGTTTTTTATGTTTTGCTAATTTTATTAAGTTTTATTTCTGTTACAAGCTGTTAAGCTATCTAATTAGTTAGATATTGCTTATAGTAAAGCTAGCATAGCAGTGTTAGTTGGTCGGTGATTGACAGGTGCAAGGTTGGGTTCACTAAGGTAGAAGTTCAAATAATAGATGTAGGTACAATACCGTATATACTTGACCCGAACCCGAATAAAAGGCGAGGCCCCTAATTTTACAACAAAAAACTGGGAAAACTTATTGACTCGAGTATAAGCCTAGGGTGGGAAATGCAGCAGCTACTGGTAAATTTCTAAATTAAATTAGATCCCAATAAAATTACATTAATTGAATATTTATTTACAGTGTGTGTATAGAATGAATGCAGAGTGTGTGTTTGTGTGTGTATATAATGAATGCAGAGTGTGTGTTTGTGTGTGTATATATAATGAATGCAGTGTGTGTGTGTTTATGTGTTTTGTGTGTGTGTGTATATAATGCAGTGTGTGTGTTTGTGCAGTGTGTGTAAACTGGATGAGGGGAAGGCATTTTTATTTTAATTTTTTAATTTTATTATATTATTTTCATATTATTATTATATTTTAATATTATATTATTTTAATAATATTATTATTATTTAAATATTTGCATTATTGTCCCCCCTCCCTGCGTGTTGCCTGGTAAGGGAGAGGGGACAATTTTTTTTTTTTTTAAATAATGCAAATATTAAAATAATAATAATATAATAATAAAATAATATTAAAATAATATAATATTAAAATATTAATATTATTTTATTATTATATTATTATTATTTTAATATTTGCATTATTTTTTTTAAAATGTTTTTTGTCCCCCCTCCCTGGCCAGGCAACAAGCAGGGAGGAGGGACAAAAAAACATTTAAAAAAAAAAATAATGCAAATATTAAAATAATAATAATATAATAATAAAATAATATTAAAATAATGTAATATTAAAATAATAATATTATTTTATTATTATATTATTATTATTTTAATATTTGCATTTTTTTTTTAAATGGTCTGTTCAGGGGATACTTAATAATAAGTTTGTCATTTCTGCAGCCAACCAATTTCACTTTTTTTTAAAAGAAGGATCTGTACCAATTTTGTTAGGTATTATTAATAGTACATAAAACAGAAACGGGGGGGCGTGGTTTGGGCTCTGAACAAGATGGCCGCATAAATTAAGAGCTCCACTCCACCGGACCCCTACAAAGCACTAATTCAGAAGCTACGCACGTTAAATGGGCCGCACTAGATGCCCGGAGGACCCCAGACACCGAGGGGAACACAGCAAGGTCCCCTCGACGGATTCCTACAATCGTAACCCGGTGCAAGCGGCGAGGCAGGAAACCCCAAGATGGCACCGACCTCCACGGCGGGCTCGGAGAGCTCGGCCCTAGAGCGAATTGGGGAAGAACTGAAGACCCTCACAGCATCCATGGTCTCTAAGGCAGACCTACATACCCTCACCTCCACCATACAGGACATACTGCGAAAGGAGATAGCGTGTATCAGGTCTGAGGTCACGGCACAAGCAGGTCGCATCCAATTGGTAGAGCAGGCACTAGAGGCTCACACAAGCAAATTGACAGCGACGGACACAGCGGTAGCCAGATAGGGCAAAATGCTCCTTGCCATGAGACGACACATTGAGGACCTAGACAATAGGGGGCGACGCTGTAACATAAGAATACGTGGAGTGCCCGAGTCTGAGGGAGAAGAAGATGCAGAAGCAATCCTCACGGAGCTATTCCACACCCTACTGCAAACAGCGACCCCTCAACGCATTGAATTCGAAAGGGCCCATAGGGCATTGAGACCAAGGTCGTTAGAAGAGGGCCCGAGGGACATGATATGTTGCCTGCACTCCTTCCCAACTAAAAATGCAATAATGCGAAAAGCCTGTGATAGACCAACCTGGCCCTTCAGGGGAATGCAAGTATCATTGTATAATGATCTCTCCCCCATCACGCTGGAAGCACGCCGGGCACTCAGACCAGTGACGACCGCCCTAAGGGACTGCAATATTCCCTACAAGAGGGGGTTCCCATTTGCCTTACTGACACGCCACCGTAATGGATTGGTATTGATGCGCTGGCCGGAGGAGATTACGCGATTCATGGAAGAGTTGGGCCTCATGCCAGTGCAAGTGACCAATTGGATCCTAGGACCACTGGGCCCACCACCCGGGCCTCAAAGAACTATCCGTAGGAGAGAAGCAGGCTCACCGTCAGGTCACGCGTCCCAAAGGCGCAGACACCCGGCGGACCCAGAGGAATAAGTGAGTACCTCCTGCGCACGAGACATCACCGTGCCACCCACACACCCGGGGACACTGAATGACATCTCCCCCCACTCACCCCACACAACGCAGCTGACGGATTGAAGAAAATGGACACACACACTCAAGATTTTACAACCCCCCCAACGAACATGACCCACTAATGGACCCATTTTACAAACACTAACAGAGGCTCACAGTATGCTTTTTCTGCAGGATTTGGGAGGGGGGAACGGGGGCTCTGGTTGCACCCCATGCCTTCTTAATGGGGATGCTGTGGAGCAACATGGGAAAGGGAACAAGAGTTGGGGAGGGGGGTTAAAGGGCTCACCGTCAGGTCACGCGTCCCAAAGGCACAGACACCCGGCGGACCCAGAGGAATAAGTGAATACCTCCTGCGCACGAGACATCACGTGCCACCCACACACCCGGGGACACAACGCAGCTGACGGATTGAAGAAAATGGACACACACACTCAAGATTTTACGACCCCCCAACGAACATGACCCACTCTGCCCCAGTATAACACTGCTCCCCAGGGGGCTCCCACACTACCCCCCCCCCCATATGCAACAGGAGGGGCTTGTAGAGGCCTGAGCAGAGCACGGGGCAATGACCTCTGAACTCCGGGATTACGGATCACATGGGGAACACCCCAGGACTGGGGGTTAAATGGGACGGACACCTTGGCCTGGAGATACCTACAATCCCCCCTGGGGCTCACGTTCAATGTGCATTCACAGTTGAGATCACCCTTACCCTGCCTTTTAATGTGACTGCTTAAATGTATTACTTTTATACGGTTGCGCTCATGCATATTAAGTAGAAATGTAATAACGTTCCTACCCACTTGATGGCTGAGTAAGCCTCCGGAGGGTCGAGGATGTATAAGGGAGGGTAGGATGCACCCTCCATACCTAGGGCAACGGGAAAGCACGAATAATAGTGGGCACAACCGAGGATGGAGAGGGAACCTAATAGAGCACAACCCCTGAATACAGGGCTGACCTCTCACAGGAGAGGACCCCACCAGGGAACCGAAGGTGGGAGAGGTAATAATGGGCCCCATACAACCCCACCCATGTGAGAACAACCTTATTACGAATGCTGAGACCGAAAACGGGGAGTGGGGATGGGACAGGAAGGGACAAGCTTCCGAGATGACGTTATCACTACATAAATCCCAGAGCCAGACTTACACAACTGGGGACCACACAGTACTGGGCCTAGAAAGCATACACTTCCCTGTCACCTGATTAAAAAACAGCATTAGTGTAAACACTCGACACATACGGCTATGGGGTGACATCAAACAATGGACATCACACAGACAAAAGGCAGAAAATGTGGGGAAGATGGGAATAGAACAGGACCTACCTGGGTGTGACAGGGGCTGGGTGAGAAGATAGCGTGGTAACGGTGGGCCCCTGCATACACGGACTGTTCAGGGGAAACTACAATCACTAGAGGGGGGGATCGCGGTGGGGATGGGTGTATGGGGGAGAAGACGAGATGAGGGAGGATTGCTAGGGGTGCCCGGGATGTGGGTCAGGCCAGGTTGAGAGCTAACAGGAATGTTGATTTCAGTTAGGATTATATATTATCACAATGTTAAGACCGTCACTGGGCATGTACATATGAGAAAAGCAGACGTTGCAATACATGACACGCTATAACTGGGGTGAGGTGGAGTGTCTCGACCCAACTCTCTTTTGTTGTCTTTTTCTTGGACGGAGCCGAGGCTGTGCTACCCGATATGCACTCGTGCTAAACTCCTCGCAGCCAAACCGGGTTCTACCCGAACAACTAATTTTGCAATCATCCCTCAGCCCACAAATCTGGGGTGGCAATCATAATAGCGGCACACCTCATATTCCAGGAACTGGAACGAGTCGAGGACACACAGGGACGCTTCCTCTTCTTGAAGGGAATTATTGCGGACAAGATATACACACTCACGACCATTTATGTCACCAACAGGCAGCAAGCCTCTTTCCTCAAAGGTGCATTGGCTAAACTTAAAGACGTTATGGAGGGCATACTAATAGTAGTAGGGGACTTTAACACCCCCCTAGACCCAACGTTGGATTCCTCCTCGGGACGTAGCTGCATTCCCCAAGGATGCATTAAGTCCATCCGACGCTCACTGAATGACCTGGGCCTGGTCGATTGCTGGAGGAACCTCAACCCCTCTAGCAAAGACTATGCACACTACTACGCCCTTCATAACCGATACGCACGAATCGACTATGTCTTCATCAAACAAGAGGGCCTCTCCCACTTACTAAAGGCTACTATTGAGCCAGCTACGTGGTCGGATCACGGCTCGGTCAGGATAGACCTGAATTCACCCCTGTATCGACCATCCACCTGGACCTGGAGGCTCAACGAAGCACTGCTCCTGGATCCGGTGATACGGGAACAAATTGGCCAAGCCCTGGATCTCTATTTCCAAGAAAATGACCTATGAATCATTGCCATATGGGAGGCACACAAGAGCATAATATGGGGAACACTCATTCGCATTGCCTCTCAGAAGAAGAAGGAAGCCACTCGGGAGATGGGGAATCTACATAAATCCATCTCAACACTGGAGCAACTACACAAAAGATCCCAACTTAACGCAGTATATGGCAAACTCATGGAGGCTAGAAGAGCACTGAAAGTGAAAAAACATCACCGCTCGCTACAACACTCGAAGGTCTTCTTCTATACCCATGCGAATAAAGGAGGCAAATATCTGGCATGTCTCCTGAAGGGAACCGCACCCCGCACACAGATACGTAAATTACGCCTCGTATCAGGCACCGTCTCCCCCTTCCCACAGGAGATAGCAGAGGAATTCAAGAACTTCTATCAGACCCTCTACAACCTCCCCGCACCCGGAGGGAACGACCAAAGCTGGAACCAAAACTCGGCAGTGACAAATTACCTACGCACATATATCACTGAAGTGGTTGATCTGGACACAGCATTAGCCCTGGGAGCACCCATTAGCCTGGAGGAACTAGCGGCAGCCCTAAAAAATACCAAACCCGGCAAAGCACCGGGACCGGTCGGCTTCTCTACAGGCTATTATAAGAAATTTGCCGGAAAACTCCTGCAGTGGCTCACAAAAGCCCTAAACGCCGTGGCAGACGGCGAAAGCTTTGGGCCGGAATCACTGACCGCGACCATAACCGTACTACTCAAACCAGGTAAGAATCCACTGAACTGCAGCAGTTATCGCCCAATTTCCCTCCTGAACACCGATACCAAATTGTTTACAAAGGTACTTGCAACCAGACTGCAACCCCTCCTCCCATCCCTGATCCACATGGATCAAACTGGCTTCATTGCCGGAAGAGAGGCGAGGGATAGCACTCTGAGACTTTTTTCCATCCAACATTTGGCGAGGAAGACGGGAAAGCGCCTTCTGCTGCTGTTGACCGACGCGGAGAAGGCGTTCGACCGAGTAAACTGGCAGTATATGATGGCCACGCTGAGGGAAATGGGACTGGGTCAGAAGCTCTTAACATGGATTACCTCCATACACAGCAAACCAAGGGAAACGGTGAAGGTCAACGGGGCTCGAACAGCGGAATTTGAGATAAAAAACGGAACGCGACAAGGGTGTCTACTCTCCCCATTGCTGTTTGCCATGTCACTAGAACCACTCCTACAGGCGATTCGCCTGAACCCGGACATTAGGGGATACGAGGGACCAGGTGTGATCCACAAAGTAGAGGCTTACGCCGACGACTTGCCTTTTTTCGTCAAACAACCCCGATTAACTCTCCCAAACCTCCTCGCGGAGTTCGAACGTTAGAGCAAACTATCCAGGTTCAAGCTCAACCTGACGAAATGTGAGGTACTGAACTTAACGCTCCCTACTGATGAATACCTGGCACTGGAATCACAATTTTAATTCCGATGGTGTTACGGCAAGATTAAATATCTGGGCGTATGGGTGACCACAGATCCCAAACAACTATACAAACAAAACTTCCAACCCATGTTGCAAAAGATAACAGCAGACTTAGTTAGATGGGCTCTCCCACACATAACCTGGCACGGGCGCATAGCTGTGCTCAAATTGAATGTGCTACCAAGAATCCTCTACCTCATGCAGACCATACCCCTCACACCTCCGGCCACATTCTTCTCCTCACTAAAATCAGCAGTCATACGATACACCTGGCGAGGCGAAAGATCCCGACTAAGCATGACATAATATGCCTCCCAAGGTCTAATGGTGGACTGGCATTGCTGGATTTTAGAAGATATCACCAGGCTACGGTACTACAGCGCATTCTTGTTTGGCACGCGAAACCCCCACACAAACACTGGGTAATGCTGGATAAAGCAGCCAACGAAAAAGCATTGGAAATGATGATTTGGGGGGGGACAAGGACCGAGAGATCAAGAGGTGGGCGAGGGACCAGTTGCACAAACACTACGCGGATGGCAATCGCTAAGAGCACAGTCACACATCTTGCCAACACCCCCTTATACCGGCGACACACAACAGCAAAATTGGCGGAGGACTGCCAGCTAGGGCATGGAACTTCCTGGGTGCCGGCGACTATATCACCATACAAAGGGCGTTAAGGGCTGGCGGAATATGGGACCTGGAATCAATGCTGGAGGGCAGACCATGGACCGCTCTAGCCACTCTTAGATATCTGCAACTAAAACCATACTATACCACGCTCACACATAGAGAACGCCTGCATAGGGAAATAATGTACAAAAGCACATGGGGAATACTAAAACATATAATTTTAAAAAGGCCAATTTCAATAAGTTAAGGGAAGCTTTACAATATATTGACTGGCATAAACTCTTTAGTGAAAAGAACACTGAGGATAAATGGATCATCTTCCAACAAATATTACAAAGGTACATTTCTCAGTATGTACTGATGTAGAATTATTAAAATCTTTATTAGAACCTGTATTGAATTATTGTACTAACTCCATTTTAATCTCACACTGTGACAGAATTCTCCATTTTGTTC